TTTTGATGGAGTTCTAAGTAATTTCTATATGTAGAATCATATCTTTTACAAAGAGGGATAATTTGAATCCTTCTTTTCCTGTTTACATGCCTTCTATTTTTCTCTTGCCTCATTGCTCTGGGTAGAATTTCTAGTACTATATTGACTAAGAGTGATGAGAGCAGACGCCCTTGAAACGTTCCTGATCTTAGAGGAAATGCTTTCAGGTTTTTTTCCGATTAAGTATGATATTGGCTATGGGTTTGTCATATGTAACCTTTATTATGTTGAGTTATGATTCTTCTATACCTAAGTTATTCAGAGATTTTATCATAAAGGAATATTGAATTTTGTCAAGAGTTTTTCTGCACCTATTGCTGTAATCATGTGGTTTTTAATCTTTGACTCTATGTGTTGTGTTACATTTATTAATTTGTATATCTTGAACCATCCTTCCATACCAGCTTGATCATGGTTTATAATGTTTTTTAATGTACTGTTGAATCTTATTTGAAAGAATTTTGTTGAGGATTTTTGCATCTCTGCTCATTCAGGGATTTGGTCTATAATTTTCTTTTGCTATTGTTGTATACTCATCAGATTTTGGTAGCAGGGTAATACTGACTTCCAAGAAAAAGTTTGGAAGGGTTCCTTCCCTTTCTATTTTGTAGATCAGTTTGAAAGACATTGATGTTAGTTTCTCTTTAAAAGTCTGATTAAATTCAGCTGTGAACCCATCCATGTGTGGACTTTTCTTTGTTGGGAAACTTTTTATTTTTCAATTTCATTACTTGTTATTAATCTATTTATATTTTTGTATTATATCCTCTTGGTTCAATTTTGGTAGGTTATATGTGTCCAGAAATTTGTCTATCTCTTCCAAGTTTTCTTAATCTTATCAAATGCTATCCTCTCTGGGACTTTAGAAAACCAATTAATCCTCTCCTCTTTCCTATATTTTAATTCTTCCTTCTCTATTGTCTTTTTTCTCTAACATATGCATAAGCTTAAATTTCTTTCTTCTTCATCTCTAGATCTTCACCTAGCTTGTCATGACCTTTTTGATTATAAGTGATAAAAATTCTATAAAAGTGAGTTAAACACACAAAAAGGTAATTGTCCAAGCATTAATCCAAGCTTTAATCTCCAGTGGTCTCATCATTGCCTCTGGCTTTCTCTCAGTCTTTTAGTTATGCTTGGTTACTGATTGGCTTTATTTGTTGAATGAGCTTTTTCACATGGCAGGTAGTCCCTAATTTAAATCTTCCCAGGTTAGCATATTCAGTAGAAAAAGTTACTCTTCCATGTTAGTTTTGAACTCAGACCTGAATTAATCTTGACTATCCTCCTTTGAGTCCCATGTTTATTCTTCATTAATTCCTATGGCCTGGGGTGGGGAGTCATTTTATCTCTGTGGCCCCAGCGAAAGCAGGCCACCTTGAATGATGGCCTTCCCAGGATCACATGGAATGGTGAAGGCTTGTTTATCCAAAGGAAAATAGAGGTACTTTTATGAAAACAAGCATGCCAGACAAAAGCAGAATCCTAGAGTCTCTATAACCTCTATCTCTTGCTTTTTCATCCAAACAAAAATTCTTGAAATAGCATTTTACTGTTAGCATGCTTATTTTCTTACAGCCTTATCATGTTTCATTCATTAAAATTTGGGTTCTATCATTACTTTGAAATGGCTTTTACTCCCGTCATTTAATGACCTCCTAAGTACTGAATTCAGTGAACTTTTTTTCAACTTATTCTCTTTTGGACCTCAGTCAGGTTTTTTGTTTTTGTTTTTGTTTAGAAACAAAATCTATCTGTGTTCCCAGGCTTATCTCAAACTCCTGAGGTCAAATGATCATCCCACTTCCAACTCCCAAGTGCTGGGACAACAGATGTGTGCCACTATGCCAGGCCTTTTGTAGTATTTGACACTTTTGATTTTCTAGTCTTTCCTTCCTTTCACAAGTTTCTCCTTTGGTTTCAATTAAATCATTCTATTAATTTTTCTCCTACTTCTCAGATCGTTTGAGCTTTTCTTCCTATTGATGTTGCAAAGATTTTCTTTTCTTTTTCATTCCTCTCACTTCTCACTTCAAAACTTCTAGACATTATCACCTAAGCCTATGTCTTAAATCACTTAACTATATTCTGATGATTTTTTTAATCTGTATCTCCCATCGAGATATAACTCATTCTATATAATCACCTTCCTGGAGATGTCTGCCTAAAAGTTAACATAGCAGCACCCCAAGTCCTTCCTTCTATCTTCTTTTTGCCTCACTCTCTGTTTTCCTTAACCTTGTGATTTAACCCTCTGCTTATTTAAGCTGCTAAAGACAGAAAATAATTGTCATACATATCTCATCCCACATGTAACTAATCACCAAATCCTAATTATTTTGCCTTCTACACATTTCTCATATCAATTCTTCCCTCTTCTATCTTTTTACTAATACTCTAGCTCAAGCATTCATTGTTTTTCATTTATTTCAATTAACTTTCTCTCTTTTTCTAGTCTATCCTCTAATACATAACCATTTCGAGTGATCAAATAAGCATCTCAATTAAGTAAACCTGTTGCTAAAACATCTTCACATCTCCTTAACGTGACAAATAAACTTCAACATGACCTGGCATTTACCTCCCTGTGCAGTCTCAATTGGGTCTGCCTTCTCCTTGTGCTGTGTGCTCCAAAAATCCTGAAAACTTATAGTTCCCATCTTCTTTGGTCTCTCATCCTATGTCTTTCACATGCTATTGTCCCTTCATATGTATCTTGCCTTTCTTCATAATCACAGCTCTATCAAGCTTAGAATCCTACTACTTTTCTTTCATCTATTTTCACCTTGAGGAGTCTTTTTGACTCTCATTGCTCTTTCTTCTACCTTCCCATTATACTTTGTATCTACTTCCATTTTTAGTACATTGTGTGTATGGATCAACTTATAAAAGTAGAGTAATGTGAACTATAATTGTAGGTATAGTTGAAGAGTAAAGTAGGATTTGAATAGGTGAATAAGAGGGCAGAGATTATTTATTTATTAACTTACTTATTTATTTACAGTACTGGGGATTGAACCCAGTGGTGCACCACCCATGATCATTGAGCTATAGTCCCATCTTTTTTTTTTTTTCTTTTCTCTTTTGACATGGAGTCTTGTTAAGTTGCCCAGGCTGACCTCAAATTTGTGATCCTCCTGCCTCAACCTTTCAAGTCTCTGGGTTACAGATATGCAAAGTGTTCCCAACTAAGGATGGGGGGATATTTAAAGTAAAATGACCCAGTGGTGTACTGGCACAAGCTTATGAAATATGATTGGAATTTTCATTTATTATTATAATTTTAATTATATGAAATTTCAAATAAATTATGTTAAAAACAAAAGCAAAAATGCTCAAAATTCATCACTTCCTCATTATTCTACTACATTTTACTATTATCTGTATTCTTGAGGCTGTTATCTATATGGTGTAAATAATGTATAATGGGGTGCTACTGTACATTTCTTCCCAACTTCTCATCAGTAATATCACAAGTAGCTTAAAATCAGTTATGGTGAGAAAAGTTTTACTATTGGAATAAAAAAATACTGCCTATCAGGATTTGACTTATTGGTTTGTTGTTTAAATTTAAGAGACAATAGTGAAGATTAAACTTAACAGTATGTTGTAGAATCATTACATTGAAAATAACACAAAAAATTAAGGGAATATTCTTTTAGTATTTGAAAACTACTGTTTAATTCAGAAAAAAAAGTTACTTAATCAATGATGGATGAGTGAAGTCCCAACATATGTCTTTATTTTACTTTTATCTTGCTAAAGTCAACAAAAATATTAAGCAACATTTATGAGAGAACTTTACTGATTTGTCAATTGCAACCATAGGTTGGCTATAGATAGAAGAGTGGCAAAATTGAATGAAAACATTTAGTGAGAATCAAATAATTATATGGGGGCTGGGGATGTGGCTCAAGCGGTAGCACGCTGGCCTGGCATGCGTGCAGCCCGGGTTCGATCCTCAGCACCACATACAAACAAAGATTTGTGTCCGCCGAAAACTAAAAAAAAATAAATATTAAAAAAAGATTCTCTCTCTCTCTCTCTCTCTTTAAAAAAAAAAGAGGGAGCCTACTTCGAACTCGGGTTTAAAATAATAATAATTATTAGTATTATTATTATATGGGATTTACAATTAAGCATACTGTATATAATATTTTTTGTAAATTATGTAATATACATCTATAAAGTTTAGGGTAAAGTTATGTATATATACATGTGCATACTCTTATGAGAGGCAGTTATTAAATATATATTAGTATACATCTATGCAAAAGTGTTTAAGTAAAGGGATTTAGTCTTCACAACAATTTTTTTAAATAGGTGCTATTATTTTTTCCTTTTTCAGGGGAGAAAACTAGGCTCAGGGAATTTGAATTACTTCTCTAAAGTCATACAAATAAAAAAAGTAGAATTTTCACACAGGTAGTCTGTTTCTAAACCCAGGCTATAAACAATGAAAATACTGAGGATTTTTTAGCAGCAGAAAAATATGTATTTTGGACAAATGTATGTCATAACAATATTCAAAATTAATTTGTAAAGAGCTGGAAGCCAATTAGAGTAGAATCATTTTTACCTAGGAATTAAGATGAAAAATTAATTCTGTCTTTTAAAATCTAATGAAAAATATAGTGCAACTATCAGTACTTGTAATACGGTAAATAGAATTGACTGAATATAATATTCAACAATGCTTGACACAATGCTTTTGGAAACTGCTGCTCGAAAACTCTACTTAGTAATTGAAAGATGTGTTTGATATATCAGTATAAAATGATGTTTAATCTTTAAAAGTAATTATACTCTTTTATATATATACATAACAGATTTTTTTAGATGGAACTATTCTACAACTTCAAAGGAGAAAGACCCTCAAACAATGACGTTCAACAGAAATCTTAATATATCTGGAAACCAAAATTTGATAGATACGGATAAAAGTAATTCCCCATTTTCAGAGGTTTTGAATGTGAACTTTGAATTGGGAAATGAAGTTTGGGATGATTTTGATGATGAAAACTTAATAGAAGTTACTAACTTTTCGGTTGATACTAAGAATATAAAGACACCAGGTAAATTTGTATTTTAGCATGAAGTAATTTCATTAGTAATTCTTTTGAATGTTTTTCATTTTAGCTCCAAGGAGTAATTTTCTTCACCTTTTTATGTGTGCTTATTTAATTAGTTTTGATTCAGTAATATAATTTTTAGCAAAACTGAAAAAGTGACCCTTCCATAAAAAGCATTTTACCATTAACCTACTAAGAACAGAGGTCAAGGTTACTTCACAATGGTGATATAGCAAATGAACTTTTTCTATTTTGTTGCTCCCCTCTCTGGTTAAAGACACTATTCAAATTCAGACTGTTGATTCATTTTTTCCTTATAATACAGAGTGTCCTGCTCTCCATTCTAAGATCACACATGGTTTGCTACTTTTTGTGAAGGACAAAAGTATTCTATTTTTGAAAGTATTCATCAGCTTGCAAAAAAAAAAAAACCTTTTATTTCTAATCAAAATATTGACTTTAGATATAAATAAGTACAAAAAAAAGGATTTGTTTCTCCTGTGTGGGCAATTATATTTAAATAATATACAAACCCAAAATAATGAGATGTAGTTCTTTGAGTTACAGGCAGTTACTCCATTTCACTGAAACAGAAATTGAAAGTCATGTCAAGTGTTTGACAAGATAACAAATGGAGATACTCTTACCCATAAGGGTTGACAGAAGGAAATCAGTCCTTCAGCCTTCTGAGTACAGACTCTTATTCCTAAAATTATAGTTTGTTGATTTTTAATATATACCAATGTATGCTCTTTTTAAAAATATACATATATATTTCTAAGAGAAGCAATTAGCCGTGGAAATGTTGTTTTAGGATCCTAAGAATTACCCTAAAAAGTAAACGCTTTTCTCAGAAAGATAAGGATTTGCTCACCTTCACAAAATAGGCCTGAAAATTTTTTATTATATCAGATCAGTATGTATCATTTTCTATGTCAACTAGCAGTCTCTTTCTCACAATTAAATGTTATTGTGTTCTGCAAGTTAATAGGCAACGTGCTAATCCTTTGATGTAGCCTAATTCTATGAAGGCATTAGATTTATCACTGGGAAAATCAATAAATGCTACTTACCCCCATTTGTGGAGCACTTCTAAATGATCACATGAAGACCATTGAAAATACTGAATGAATCTCAACTTGATCATTTATCTGAATTTAAAAAATAAATAAATAAATAGTGGTGGTTTGAAGACCTTTTAACATAGTAACTAATAAGCTAACCTTTGTGTTTTATAATTTTACTCCTTTATCTTTTATGCCCTCACTTTATGCAAATTAAATTTGATATTGTAAAGAATTAGTCATTCCTTTATTAACCAGATCATATCTGTTGGACAGCTCCCTGATAGAACTTGTGAAAAACTTCATTCAGCCCTTTACTGGCATTTTATTTGAAACTATTATCTCTTTATATAGGGTCTGAAAACACTTTGATTTCAAGTATCAGGGGAAGTAAGCTACCTTTCCAACAGTCAAAGAGCAAATTCCAAAGAGAAATGTCAAACAGGCAAGTGTTAAAAAACTTTGGTTTGTTATTCTTACAACTTTATATTTTCTTGAGACATAATTGGAGATGAGGATCAAGTCATTAGGTGTCAGAGAAGATATATGGTATTGGTGAATTTAACCCTCTTAATGTTAGAGGTGTGTTTCTCAAAGTGCTGTTGTCAAAACAGAATTTCAGATGATGGACAGTTAAGCATAAGACTAAATTTTTAAAACATTTTTGAACGATTATTTCTATAGCCCCTTAAAAATAGTACTATTATCAAATTTGGAATATGTAAATTATGATATGGTCTAAATGAAAGGAAATACACCAAGTTCTCCTTGAGTATAAGAAACAGCATCAATTTTTTGTGATAAATATGATAAATAGTACTCCCCAAAGAATCACTATTAATGCAAATTAAAATGGTTTGTTTTTCCCATTTGCCATATTTTACAAATAATTAATTTTAATTTTTAGTTTTGTTTCGTCACACGAGAAGCCAGCCATTTGTTTGTCAAATTCTGCTATGTCCAAGTTTGATATATCCTCCATGACACAATTATCTCAACAAGCTGGAAATGCAAATATTGTAAGCAAAAGCACTTCTTTGTTTTTCCTATAAATTTTGCCTAAATACTTAAACTTTCATTGATTGCAATTTTTTTACATCGAAATATAGGACCATTTACAGGAAAGAAAAAAGCAATGTTTGTCACCAGAGATTGAGAAACTGTCCTTTACTCACTTCAAAAATATATCAAATTTTTCAAATTTCAAGAAAGTAGATTTTTTTTTTAGAAACAGTGAATCCATAAAGGAAGTTGATTCCAGGTAAGAACTCTTAATATATTCATGATTATGTCAGTAAAGACATCTTACAAAGAAATTCGGCTTTCCTTTTTCCTTGATTCATTTTAAAGACCAGAACCTAAACATATTAAAGACATTGAAATTTTAGACCTGTAGTGAGCTAAGCTCTTTTAAGATATTTCACAGCATCAAATATTCTAATTTTTGAAACTATATTGAGTTCATAAACTTATTTTTACTGATTCAAATATAGCTTTTTTGTATAAAGTGTAGCATCATTTGAAAAATACAAATGAAATCAGCTAATTTTTAAGAAGTTCAGTTGTATTTGAGCTATACAGTTATTTCACAATTCAACAGGTTCAATGAAAAAAGTCACAGCCAGGGGTGGTGGCATATGCCTATAATCTCAGTAACTCAGAAGTCTGTAAGACAGAAGGATCCCAAGTTGAAGGTCAGCCTCAGCAACTTAGTGAGACACTAAGAACTTAATGAAACCCAGTCTCAAAATAAAAAATAAGTACCCCTGGGGTCAATCCCCAGTACAAAAAAAAGAAAGAGGGAGGGAGGAAGGAAGGGGGGGTAGGGGAGAAAGAAGAAAGGGCGGGAAGAAGGAGGGAGGGTAGAAAGAAGGAGGAAGGGAGGGAGGGGAAATTGTCAGGTTAAATCTTCTGGCCATTTTTTAAAGAGAAACTGCAGGTGTCAAAGTTTACATGTATGTTTATACTTTCATTAAATGACATTACTTTCCAATATATTTAAATAAATTATGTCTGATATTTGGTCCTTTTATAGTTTACAAAGTCTAATTTTTTTTACCGACAAATTTCTTGCAAGGTTATACATACTGAAGTTTATTTGACATATTAACCTCACAGCAATCAAGTTTATATGTTCTGTTAGTATTGTATTATTTATTGTGTATTTTTTTTTTAAATTGTCTTACAGAAATAGTTATTTTTGCATTTGCTTTTTTTATCCAGTAGATATCATCCTGATGATGAAGCTGAGGAAATGAAGTCTTTTCTGGGAATATTTGATGGCATTTTCTAAAACAAACAAAAAAATAATGCTTCTTATTAATACAGAATAAAGTATAAAGATAGCTAGTCACAAAGCAGGTTTTTTATTTGTATTTTTTGTGCTTTATATTTTTGAAAAGTAGTTCATAATTGTTCAGATTTTTGTATATTAAATGAGATCAATTTTGTTGATTTTTTTTTTGTGTGCAATGAAAGATAAAGATTTGACCATTATATTGTAACATCTTGAAAAATGCTTTTTACTGTAGCTTTGTTTTAATAAGCTGATTGAAATTCAAAAATTTATACTTAGAAATAACTGTGTAGTTACCAATTGGATTTTGATTGAATTTTGACAGGACTAATATAAGTTTTCATTTTTAAATTTTTCTTAAGAAGGTTATTCTGTGAAAGGAAAATAATGTCAAGTCAGTGAATCTACTGTATGGTTTATTCACTCATATGGTTTTCATGTGTTTTATTTTATTATTTACTATTTTAGATTTTTAGAAATCCCATGGCTGTTTGAACTGTTATCTAATTTTGAGCAATGATAAATGAAATATTAATCAATATAGATTGTTGGTTTTGTTTAGTTTGTTTTTTCAGTGTCATGAATTCAAAAACCTTGTTTTGTTGACCTTTAGCAAAAGGTATTTATATTATTTTCCAATAAATTATGTCTCAACTTCAACTTTGATTAACTTTATTAATAAGTAGCATATAGGGTACCATAAGCAATGTTTATTTCTAATGTATTTAATACATAGATACCCACTTAAAAAATTTTAGAAAATACTTATTTTCTTTAAGCATAAAAACTTTAGAGATGAGAAACTTCCAGATAAGATTGTTATGTTTATTATTAGTAAATATTTATAAGGAATTATATGTATTAAGCTTAGATAAAAAGATTAGAACAAAAGAGATTTTGTCTCATGTTGAAAAGTAAGGGAAACTAGTTCCTTTATTTTTGTCCTCTTTACAGTGGGTATGGATCTGTATCTGAATCAATCAAACTACTACTTTTAAAGATTTTTAAACACCATTAAAATGAAAAAAAAAAATGATGCACTAAAATCTATTTATCTTATGTACACAGACTTTGACACTAAAGAAATAGCAATTTAATTCAACCTAACATTGTGATCTGCTAAGTGAAAAGCACTGTAGTTGATACTGTGCAAAATGAAAACAGTGTTCCTGTTCTTAAGGAGCTTACTTTACATTCTAGTAGAGAAGTTAAGATATACAGTATAGGCATACCTCAGAGAGATTGCAGGTTAGGTTTTGGTCCACAACAATAAAGCAAATATTGCAATAAAGTAAGTCACACAAACTTTTTTTGGTTTCTCTGTGAATATTAAAGCTATGTTTACACTATACTGTAGTCTATTATGTATGCAATAGCATTATATCTTTAAAAATGTATATACCCTAATTTTAAAATACTTTATTGCTAAAAATGCTAACAGTCATCTGAGCTGTTGGAAAAATGGCACCAATAGCCCTGCTACATGCAGAGTTGCCCCCAAGCCTTTAAATAATAAATAATGTGATGTCTGTAAGGTGCAATAAAGTGAAGCACAATAAAACAAAGTATGTCTATAATATAAAATTTAGAATACATTGGAGCAGTGGTTCTTAAACTTAAAGGTGCATGGAATCATCTAGAGGGCTTGTTTGAAACAGATTATCCTGAGTTTATGACTCAGTGTGTCTGGAAAGTTCCTGAGAATTTAAATTTCTAACAGATTCCCAAATGGTGCTGATCCTACTGGTCCATGGACCACACTTTGAGAGAATCACTGCAAAAGAGATTAAAATAGCTGTGGGTGTATATAAGAAAGAATATAATCCTGGCTGGAGGGTCAGGGAATTATTTATAGAAAGTTTAAAATCTGAGTTGAACCTTGAAAGAGAATAAGATTTTGTGGAGGAAAAAAATAGAAAACTGCCTGAACAAAGGTGCAAAGGAGGAAAGTATCTATTTGGGGGGAAATGGATAGATTTTTTTTTTAAAACATAGGTTAATTTTATGGATGTTTGAAATATAAGGCCCGACTAGGAGGGGCTTTAAATGAAACTCAGGTTTATTCAGTGGACTACTGTCTCCCAAACTTGTTTCATCATTTTAAAAAAATGAATAAGATATTAAATATATAGAGTACCTTAACCTCACCTCAGATCTACTGATTCAAAATCTCCAATGGAGGGGACTAGGGATTCTGTAGTTTGTTAACAAAGATTCCAAATGGTATTTATGATCAGGTCAGTTTGAGAAACACATAGATAATAGATTCACCTCCTAAGTGATTACCTGGGAAATTATGTGTATGCTAAATATATGTAACTCAAAACCAACAACAACAATGGTGCTGTTACATATATATTAGCCACTTAAAGGAGTCCAATTGCTGGCTGTTCTTTTCATGAAATAAATAATAGTCTTAAATTTTTCTATTTGTAAGTTATATATTGGATTTATTTATTTATATACAGTGAATCATACAACAGAGCTTTTCACAAAAATCACTGGTGGATTAAAATCTTTAAGGTTTTCTCAATTGAAAATTCCTCAGTAGGCTGTTTTCTTACTTTGTTGGCATAATAGTATGTACCTTGTAAGAATGTAGTGAGAATTTAATAAGTCACTGCATAGAAAACTTAATTTAGGGATGGATTCATAGTTTTGTTCAGTAAGTGATAGCTGTTTGTACCGCTTTAAATGACCAACTGAGAAGGGGGGAATAATACAATATCCAAGTTGCATTGATTTGCATATGGATTTGAGTTTCCATAGATGTAGCATCCATAGGAAAAAAAAATGTTATCCAAGATCTTTCTTCTACATAAACTTTTTCTTTCAGGAAGATATCCCTACCTGTATCTCCTCACCAACTCTATTGGTTGATATGTGATCGGAGCATACAAATCTGTATTATCATTACCTTAAGTAAAACATAATTAGAAAATAAGTCTTCTACAATTTTTATTATTATACATTATAAAGCCAAATAGAAATGATTGTTCAATTACTCATTATTCTAAGTTTTAGCACAATTTACTCATTTACCAGTCTCTTTACTCTGACCCTATTTCTAGAAAACATTTTCATCAGGCACTGTAGGGAACCACTCTTTGAGAACCCCAGTCTATGACTCACATGGATAATATTTGCCTGTGACATCCTAGATAATAACAATTGACTGTATTTAAGAACTTTTACTTTTGTGGGAATAGAGAAGGCACCAATGAGGAGGAAGTTGGGGCAAAGAAAAGTAAGCTTAAGCTTAGAATTAAACTAAGTAAATTTCAGTCTGAGTATTGGTTAGTTTGTGGAACAAAACAAAAAGGGAAATTCTGCCATTTCTTTTGTCATTTCAACTCTTGGCTGCCCATAGTTTTAAACCTTGCTACTCAAAGTCTGATCCAAAGACTAGAAATATGGGAACTGCCTGGAAGCTGGCTAAAAACTCAGTGTCTTAGGTTTCACCCTAGGTGGTCTGAGTCAGAATATGCATTTTAACAAAATCCCCAGGTGATTATGTGCACATTAAAGTGTAAGGAACACTTGTATAATGTGGAAAGGAAGGAAGACAATATCAGAATTTTAAGAGGATCTATTCCAGAAGACAAGTATAATAGTAATGATGATTACTTTATTTTCTGTACATATATTTCCTATTTAAAATGTAATAGGATGATATAGCTCTTGTTTAATTGCCTTTTAGAATAGGTTTTTTTCTTCACCAACTGTATAAATTATCTTTATAATTCTCATGCATCAACTGGGTGTTTTTTATGCAGCTTGAGAGGTACTTAAACACTCTATAGAGTTTTCAACTAACATAATAAAAGCAGACAATTCAAAAGAGCAATTTTTGTTTCAATTTGGAAACTTTTCCCTAAACTAACACATCTTAAAAATTACTGCATGTTTTGGCAAGACAAAACAGAAACACCCTCATAATATTCTGATACCCTAGGTACGTGTATAATTGCACACATGGTGCAACGCCACATAGTGTACAGAGAAGTGAAAAGTTGTGCTGCAGTTGTGTACAATGAATCAAAGTGCATTCTTCTGTCATATATACCTAATTAAAATAAATAAATTTATAAAAAAAATTTAAATTATATCTTAAAGAATAATACAGTAGAAAAATGTGCATAAACCTACACTTGCATACATATATTACAGCTGTAAAATTTTTATTTTAAAAAAGAATTCTGACTAAGCTAACACTAGCATTTTTCTGAGGACCCCTTTATGACAGCAGATAGTTTCAACCCTTTAAACACTTAACTATAAAGTCATTGTTATTTTAGTTTCTATGTTGATCAGATTGAAAACTTAAACTCTTTACCAGTTAAAAATTATAACCCTTGGGTTGGGACTGTAGCTCAGTGATAGAGCGCCTGCCTCACATGTATGAGGCACTGAGTTTGATCCCTAGCACCACATAAAAATAAATAAATAAAGATATTATGTCCATCTACAACTAAAAAAAAAATATTTTAAAAAAATTATAACCCTCCTCTCCCACACTGAGGCTCAAACCCAGGGCCTTGTGCATGCTAGGCAAGTGCTCTACCACTGAGTTACATCCCTAGTCTGGAAACATTTTTTTAAACTAAAATAATTTTATATTTTTTAAATAACTGCTTTATAATGAGTTTTGTTTTTTAAATTATTTTTATTCTTTCTATTGTTATCTGATATATATATATATATATATATATATATATATATATTTTTTTTTTTT